GGCGAGCGCCTTCCCCCGCAGCCCTCCGCACGAAAGGAGGACCCGCCAGTAGGGGAAACTGAGCCACAGAGGCGGGAAGAACGGGCTGGCGGGCGCTAACCTCGCTCGTTCTCCCCGCGTCGGGCTAAGGGTGGTTTCCGCTGCGAGCAGCTCAGACCCCAGGGCGCCTTCCGCCTTCTCCTCCTGGAGCAGCCCAGCCTCGCCTTTCTCCGTTCTCCCCCTCCCCAAACCCGGACTAATTCCAAGCCTCTGGAGTGCAACGAGCGTTCAAACCCACTTTGCAACGAGGTTCGCTTCCTTCTCGCATTCGCTCCCGCATCTCCACCGCCCGCCCCACGTGCGCTCTTTCGGGGCCGGCCAAAAGAGACACAGCACCGCGCGCCAAGAAATCGCACACACACACCAACACCCTTCCTTTCCAGCTGGTGGTGTGGATCAGCTCCGGAGCTGGGCAGCTGCTTCCCTGCTCCTGACTCAGGGGGCCTCCGAGGGGAGAGGAAGGAGGGGAAGGGGGGGGGCGTGATAAAAAATCGGAAGTCCGATTTTAATCGGAAGAATATCATGTATGTATATGCCTGATGATTTTCTACTTATATCAACTACCGTATATACTCGAGTATAAGTCGACCCGAATATAAGCCGAGGCACCTAATTTTACCACAAAAAACTGGGAAAACTTATTGACTCGAGTATAAGCCGAGGGTGGGAAATGCAGCAGCTACTGGTAAATTTCAAAAATAAAAATAATTAATTTGGGAAACGATCTCACTATCATGAAAGGTTTAATTGATTCACTAACTCAAAAGAAGAAAATGATGATGACAGCGGGAGACAGGAGTCACTCTCTTCCCCTCCCCTCGGAGGCCCCCTGAGTCAGGAGTTGCTACCGCCGGCGCGGCCCCAGTCCCGCGTCGCCTCGGGAAGGGAAAGGCAAAAAGGAACCTGCCGTTGCAAAGCGCTGCCGCGGCTCTTCCTTTTTGCCTTTCCCTTCCCGAGGCGACGCGGGACTGGGGCCGCACTGGCGGCAGCAACTCCCAACAGCCCCAGCCGGACACCTGAGCGGAGCCTGGGCGGAACTGCCTGTTGCCGCCGTGGGCGCCGCTGCGGGCGCCCGGCTGCCCAAGTAAAGAACAGGGCCGCGCCGGACCATCGGAGAAGCGGAGCAAAGCCGGAGACCAGCAGCTGCCTCCCTCGGCGCAGAAAGCCTCCCCCAACCAGCCAGCCGGTCTCCTCCTCCTCGGCCACACAGAACAAACAGGCAGAGAAGGAGGAGAGCAGCTGGCCAGCCGGGGGAGGCCTCCCGTGCTGCGAAAGAGGCAGCCAACCATCTCCGGCGCCGCCCTGCTCCACGCGCTGGCTGCTCGGACTTGCCGGGCCCGGCACATAGAACAGGGCGGCGCCGGATGTTGGAGAAGCCGAGCGGAGCCGAAGTGACCTCGGCTCGCGTTGTTTTCTGAGCCCGCGAGCCTAGAGCCAGGGGGCTTTCATTGCACGGCAGAGCTTCTTGTCTCGGGAAAAACCGGGCGTCCTTGCTGCCCCCTGAGGGGAGGGCGATTCTGGGCTGCGCGATTGGGGGACTTCGTGGCTTTGGGTGGGTGGGTGGGTGGGAACGAGGACGGACGGAGTCCGTGAAGTGGGGCTTGCCTGCCCTTGCTGGCTGCCTCTGCTTCCTTAGGGGCAGGGAAGGGGGCTCATCTGGACCAAGGGTGAGTCTCCCCCTCAGTTTCCCCTGAAGGATCTTCCGTCGCTTTTGCCTTCTCCCTACATCTTCCCTCTGTTAAAATTCCCCCCCCCACACACACACACACTTATTTTCGGGCGGATAGATTTCGTGTCTGAGCATTCTCACATGACGGTGGGTCTTTCCCCCCCCCTAAAAACAGTTAAAAAAAGAAAAAAATATATCCTCATGCAAGAACTTTTCTGCTTCCGATTACCCCCATGCTTAAAAGTTGCAAAGGAAACATGGAAGCAGGGAAGCGCCTGCCCAGCTCCGGAGCTCCACACCATTTTTTTTTCAGAGGGGAATCTGACTCGAGTATAAGCCGAGCGGGGGGTTTTCAGCACAAAAAATGGGCTGAAAAACTCGGCTTATACTCGAGTATATACGGTAAAATTATTTTATATTTTGCCAATTACCCTTATTTGGGAGGAACACAATTTTATTCTTTACAAGATGTATTTATTTTTTGTTATTAGTACAATCAGTATAGGAACAGAACAGAACCTAATAACAAATTAATATGGGAAAGTATTATATTTAAAAAAATAATAATAATCCAAACTTTAATCTGTGTGCTGCTGAATTTCAGCTAGTTGCAGGAAGAACTAAAAAATAGGAAAGGCAGAAAGCGGAATATGGAACAGTTATACTAAAAGCAAAAATGGCAATAAATAAGCCTTGTAGATTATAAAGGCTATCAAATTCATTATGCAATAAACATACAATGTGGGCAAGAAATTAATCCTCATGGTGTCTTCCTTTTGAAAAGGAGTTTTTATTGCTACTTCTCCTTCTTGGCTACATTTCTATCAATTAGGGCCTCTTGTATTTCTGACTCTCCTTATTTTCCCAGATTTTCTTTTTTTAAGAAAAGCTCTGCTTCCTTTTTCCTTGTTATTTCCCATTCTCTTCAGCATCTTTATTATTATTCAACTGAGTGTTGTAGTGGAATAATGGTGGAGAAATGGTGCAGGCACACAAGACATGATAGTTCATAAAGACCTCTGATTTCTTTTTCCCAACAGAAAGGAAATTAACCACAACCAGAGTACCTTTGAGGCAGACATGAAAACAGAGTTCTCCCATTTGTGCTACCTGCAACTGGAGGCTTGAAAAAGACATCACCCAACCAATTTTAATCTGATTTCCAGACTTATGATACTGCTGAGTAGTTTGTTGCTAAAGTTTCCAACAGATAGAATAGAACACTTTATTTGGCTAAGTGTGGTTAGACACACAAGGATTTTGTCTCTGGTGCAGAAACCCTCAAGTGTCCATGCAAAGCAAAGCAACATAGTAACGATAGTCATAATAATTATTCTACTAATAGTAATGATGATAATCATAATGTAAGGAGTTGTACAACAGGAATGATAAAGAAACTCCATTTTCAAATAAATATCTATAGGAATGATTACATTTAACTAATCTTGTCTTCTGTGCTGTCTCTTCTCTTCTAGCAACCTCTCCTCCTTCCAATCAGATGCACCATCAATTCCTAACTGTTGGTTTCTCAGGCTCTATTGGTTACTATTTATTTAGATTCTATCTAGCCTTTCATTCATGAGAATCACGTGGTGTACACAGCTCTCTCTCCAACAATTTTTGCCCACTACAAACCTGCTGGGCTGAGAAAGAACTAGCAAAGTCAACCAGTGAGCTTCCATGCCTAAGGGCAGACTAGTCCCACTTTCCAATCCAACATTTTAACCACAACACCGAATTTAGCTTTGCTAATTATATACAAATTATTAGTTGGCAAGGAGGACATCTTCCTCACACAATGTTCTTCACTCCTTGAATCTCTGCAACTTAATCAGTTTGGGCACTTATTTTCCAAGAAACACAACTACAGCTGGTATCGCTAGAGATATAACAATCTACCAGTTTGATTGAAACAGCGGCATTAAGAATTTCTGTTGATAAGTAAGATTATCCAGGAGACTAGTGTAGTGTAGCCATGGGATAATACTGCATCAAAGAGAACCAAGTTCCAGTCCATCCTCAGCCACAGAAAAGCACTAGATAACTTTGGGCCTATCACTAACTTTGGGCTATCTCCCAGTCAGAAAAGTAATACAGGTAGTCCTCAACTTATGACCAGAATTCAGCCCAGAATTTACATTGCTACGTGAGAAATTTGTTAAGGGAGTGGTGCCCCATTTTATGACTTTTCTTGCCACGGTTGTTAAGTGAATCATTGCAGTTGTTAAGTTAGTAGCACAGTTGTTCAGTGAATCTGGCTTTCCCATTCACATTGTCACAGCACATCGCGAAAGATGATCAGATGATCCTGTACACTGCAATCGTCATAAATATGAACCAGTTGTCAAGCATCCGAATGTAAATTACGTGACCATGGGAATGCTGCAATGGTTGTAAGTGTGAAAAATGGTCATAAGTCACTTTTTTCAGTGCCATTCGTAACTTTAAACAGTCACTAAATGAACAGTTGTAAGTCAAGGACCACCTGAAGGAGTGCATATCCTTTGACAGTGCTTGCCATATATAACAATAAGTTCATGCTATTCAGTTGTCCTGGAGTAGACAGCAAAAGAAAAGCACACTTGGCTTTCACCATCAAGCATGTGACCATCAATTCCTGCTCTACCATTAACGTGGCTTCAACCACTAGACGGAAAATTAGCAGGTGAAGGAAGCACGTTTTTACCGAATCAAAGAACTTCAAATAAAAATCCCAAATGAAGGGGCTGAATGAATTTACACGCAGGGCATTAATTACTCCTATATGTGGAGATCTAAGCTCCTTTGAAGAAATGTGGATTGCAAATCAGAAATCCCTGAAATGGCAATTTGGGTCATTCTGTACCTGCTGTACATGGATTCCACACTACATGGAAATTCCTTTATAGCTAAACTTTGGGTGCATGAAACATAGTGTGCCACAGAAGGATTTGGTGGGTTAATGCCATGCATTGCATTTATGCACAAAAGTGATAAGACCCCCTTCCCCAATGTTATTTCCCCAAGCACAGGCTAGTTATATCTCTTGGGGCTCCGTGTGTTAGCATCAGTGTTAAAGGATCCTGTATATATCCCAATACATTTATATAGAACAGTGGTGGCTAACCTTTTGGGGCTCCTGTGCTGAAAAATTGCATGTGCACTTGTGCGCGCTCTCTCGCAGCACACAGAAGGCAATACACACGAGCCCCCCCCCCCC